GCACACACACACACACACACACTCACCCGCCGGAGATTACCCAGGAGCAGCGCTACACTGCACGCTCAGCCAATGAGAGACTAGACTGTCAGTCACACAGTCACACACACACATAGACAGACAGACACAGACACACACACACACATAGACAGACAGACACAGACACACACACACACATAGACAGACAGACACAGACACACACACACACATAGACAGACAGACACAGACACACACACAATACACTCCATTCTGTGTGATTTATAAGTTTGTTTATCCGTGGGGACCTCAATTTAGGTCTGTGTGTATTCAGGTTTAAGTCCCCACCAGAATAGAAAAACAGTTACACACACACACACAAACACACACACTCAAAATAAAAAAAACTCGCCACTTTTAGACTTGCACTCTATTCATTTACTAACTGCTCGTTTTCTTATAAAAAAGTCTCTATTCTCTTAAATGCTCTATTCTTTTTTTATTCTATCTGTTTTCTTTTTATTTATGATATAATTTAAAATAAAAAATCCTTGCTGCGTGTACTGCGTTAAGCTAACTGAGACTTGTTATAGCACTTGCATATCATTTGTAGCGACTCAGCTCATGGCTTCCCATGAGGAAAATGAGGGAGTTTATCTGCCCGCATTCCTTTAGGCCATAAAACCAGTGATATCAGCATTGGTTGCCATGGAACCAGAGGCCTGTTCTGCCTTTCTGAGGTGTTAGGTGCATTTCGGGGGAAGGGTCCATAGACCCTCGTAATTGGCCCTTTGGTTAGGTGAGGGGGCGTTAGATATTATTTGTTAAATATAACAAAAAGTTGTGTGTCTGATTGGTCCAAATGCTACACATTGCTCTTTTGTTAGTTTTGATTGCTTCTATTGTCCTCATTTGTAAGTCGCTTTGGATAAAAGCATCTGCTATGACTAAATGTAAAAGTAAAAGTAGATGTAAACACACACACACACATCTATCTATCGTACTGAATTAAAACAGAACTCTCGTCAGAATCAGAATATAGTTTTATTATGTGCGTATCATGTTTTCAGTTGAACATCAATGTCAGCTACACTCAAGTGAATTTAAAAGAACAGATAGCATTTGCATATTTGAGTATATATTCTCATAAATCAAAGCTTTGCCCATTAACAACCTCAAGAAAGCATTACCATATAAATCCTGTAAACATTTTCCTCAGGAATATAATATAAAGCATGCCTCATATCCTTACGCCATTTTACATCTTGATCAACTGTAATTTATAAGATCAGTTGTGTTGAATTATTGTCTTTATTAATATTCAGTGTCTCCATGTAGACTGATGCCCGTTTGTCTCAAATATACCACTGACCTGAAACAAATGAAAATCAACAGACATCATGTATGACAGTCTATATGAAGTATAATTTTTTTCACATTACATGATAGTTAGAGGTGATTTTAAACCATAATTGATTTTTACCTCTGATTTTACTGAAGCAGTTTGCGCAGTTCACTCGCTCCCGATAAACCCAGAGAGACTTTCCCGCCTCCAGACCGCCGAGATCACAGTGACACACTGCGCACTACACACACAAACACACACATGCATTTTTACTTTCTCAAAAAAACTTATTCTGTATGATTTATAAGCTTTTGTACCCATGGGCACCTCAATTTAGGTCCCCACCGTGACACGAGTCCCCATGAGTCTGTGTGTATTCAGGTTTAAGT